TGAGTCAGCTTTCCAATGGTACCAATGCGATTCTTAGATTTCAATCACAATGGGAGTTATTCATGTTTTAGTGAGAGGGTATCAGTTTTCGCTCAAACCGGGAAAGGGCGTTTTGTGGGATTCTTGTCCAAAGTTCTTAGAACCTCTTGGAATGTTGTGAAATGATTAGCATAGGTTGTGTGGACCTTATTTAACTTGGTTGGAGTCAAATTTCCCTTCTTGGTTGCAAATTGACCATTTTGCCCTTGATTAACGGGTTTTGCTCGTTTTTCTTCATCTTGTCATTTCTCCTTCGTTCGGACGCTGAATCATGTGATTCTTGAGTCCATCTTGATTAATTTTTTATTTTCTATCCAATGGTGTGCACGATGGCACCCATTTCTGGGTAAAATGATCATTTTACCCTTGGTCCATTTCTTGTAGGGTTTTGAAACCCTTGTTTCCCTCTTGCTTCCGTTGAGTCATGGGACTCCTCAAGAAGCCATTTTTGTGTCTTAGGAGTGATGTACATCTCTAGAGGCCATGGTTTTTTTTAGATTCCGCATTTTTTTTTGGATCCGTCTCGGGTCATCACAGGACACACTGGGTTTGTAAAATCCAGGATCGTTACATCTGTGTTCACCAGAAGGGCAAATATCCTCTCATAACGTTGTACATGTGTTAGCAAGGGCTATTTGATATTGTCTTGTTATTTGGGCTGGTTGTATGTGTATGGATTTGGCCTGGTTAGCTTATGCCAATTCCTTATTTGGCTATAGCTCCCTTGTAATTACTCATCTTATTTAATACATTTTGCTTGACTTTCCGGGGAAAAAAAGAATAATCATAATAAATTGAGGCATATGATTGATAAAGCTAATTATGTTTCATGCTGATTAATGTTTTAGTATTTCTAATCAATTCAATTTATAAAATAAAGGAAGGTAGAAGGAAAAAAAAAAAAAAAAAAAAAAAAAAAAAAAAAAAAAAAAAAAAAGAAACGAAGAAATAAATAGAGAAAAAATATGACATCATATTATGAACATTATATAAAATATATTAAGTAAAAGAATAAAAGAAAAGAAGAAATAAATAGAGAAAAAATATAACATCATATTATGAACATTATATAAAATATATTAAGTAATCGTCGATTTATATTGATAGCTTAATAGCTAAATTGTGTATCATTACTCAAAATCAATTTCATAATAATTTCATTGGATTGATTTAAATATATATATATATAGTCATAATATTAATCAATTTCATAATAATTTCATTAGATTGATTTAAATATATATTCTGTAGAGACTGGTTCCTTTTTCATTTTTATGGATTTTTTTTTTTCCGTTATTTTTCCGAGTTCGGGTTTTGCCTAACCAAGTCAAGTTAAGTGCTCAAGAATAGTTCCCGGCACTTCTTTCATTAGAGTTCTGTGTTGTGCTTGTTCTTGTTTTATTTGATGATCATGTCATCTTTTTTCTTTTCCAAGGTTTATTGTCTTTTTCTTTATTTCCTTTTTCCTTATTGCCTTAAGGTTTTGTGAAACCAAGGTAGGGTTGGTGTCCGGGATTGGCTCCCGACTCTTCGTGCATCCATATTAGTACATTTCATCCTCATGACATGATTTCCTTTATATAGCAATGCATGCTTGTTCAATTTCATTTTCATGGGGGTAGATATGTTAACTTTCTTTGGGGACATTTTCATTTTTGGGATCCTTTATGCGACTTGAGATATTTTTATTTGGGGCATTAGTGCGATTAACTTTTTAGATATTTCTAGAGAGGACTTTTGTGTAATTTTGGGAAAGTTGTGCAAGGTGTCTTGGAATGATTGGGGTAAGTGTTGGCACTTGATTGGGGCATGTGGGGAATTTAGATGATGATAAATGGAGGGCTAAAATGAGAGAGTGTGTGTGAGAGGTAGTGCAAGACAACATAATAGGATATATCTCATTGTCTTACAACTTTTTAATAGGAACTTCATCTTCTCCAATTCGTTTCTCTCTCTAAACCACCATGGATACTTAACTTAGAGCTTAGATTTCACCATCTTCCTCTCACCTTTTGCTCACACCAAAGAAGGGAGAAATCTTGCTTGCATCTTGGACTACAAAGCTCTTGTCTTGGATTTCTCATTGCTTATCTTTTCCTTGGATTCTAGAGAGGATTTCTCTAGTGAGGTGGGGCTGTAGTATGATTGTAACTTAGGAATTTCCTTGAGTTTTGGGGTTTATCATGAGCTATATGTATGTTATGTGAGTTGTAAAACGATTCATTGAGATTTTCTTTATGACTTAGGTTATAATATTGATCAAATGCATAGTTATATGTTGTGAAAGTTTTTTGTCTATCTAGAAAGATGATGGTTTAATGTTGGCTTCTTTGACATATAAATATTATTACCTTTTTGTTGTTCCTACCATTATAACTTGATAGAGATTGGTGTGATACATCCGAATTTTTAAGTGCGGGTTGGCCAGGACCACGCTCGAAGATCCGGGGAGATCAGTGATAAGCACTGAAAAGTGCACATTTAAACCCTTGATCTTGAGTATATTAGGACATTATTCTATCTTATTTTCCTGCTTTAGTCTTATTTTACATTTTTCTCTTTTTCAGGTTCTTAATCCCAAAATGAGCTAAATCAGCTGAATTAGAGCATTGTAGAAGGCAATCCAAAGTCTAGTGGAAAGATGGAGCAAAGTGGAAGCAAAAAGATAGAAATTGTCTCTGTTCAATCGATCGAACCTTGGTATGATCATTCCAAACCTTCCAATTAAGAAAGTGAAGGCAGTTGCAGCATAGGTTGAATCACCTTCAAGCTAAATATTTAGCATGTAGTACTTAAAATTGATCTCTGCATGTGTAGTAAAGGAGTCCTAACTTGGAATCATTGAATTGTTTTCTTTTGCCGTGGTTTTTGTTTCCACCAAACCAGAGATTTTGTTGTAGCTGTGATTGCATTGTTGAAGGGCTACAATGGAATATATATATATATATATATATATGTTTGATCCCGAACACCGCCACCATTACATTGTACAGCCTTAAATGAGACTACCACCACCATTACACTGTACAGCCTTGAACGAGACTGTCTCTCTACAACAAAGAAGAAGAACAACCCAGAGGTGCTCCTCCAAATATAGAGAATTATTGTGTTTTTTTTTTTTTTTTTTGGGCTTACATCACCAGTTGAGGATATTTTGGAGTTTTTATAAAAATTTTGGTAAAAAATGATGACTAGGGGGCAATTTATTCAAAATGCTGATAATATAAGGATTTATATGCATTTAATTTTTAATAAGATTGTTCCTTGCACATTTTTTATAGAGCAAGTGGTTTTCTTTACACTTTAACCTATAATATATCATTAATTTTCCCACGCACAATGTACATTCAAAGTCAACCAAATGGTCATGTTTTTTTTTTTCCATCAGTGAAATATTAAAACGTTGAGGGGTGTAAGTGAAATATTGCCAAATATGAGGAAGTATAGATGGAATTTACCCAATATAAATCATTACAAAAATCTCTCCCTAAAATAACCTAACCTAACCTAACCTAACGGGTGAACTTGAGGAAGGAGCATCAAACTCTTTCTGTTCCTCTTTCCATACAAAAGAGACAAGTGGAGTTGTACTCCAGTGGAGATCGACCACTTCAAAAACAATAATCAAAATTGAATTATATGGATGGGGAGGAGTAAAACCGTAAGATGGAATAGTATTCACACCCACAAAGAGCTAGTTTTAGGACCAAACAAGATGACTTCACACACACTAGGCAGGATTAGATAGGAGGCAGTCCAATAGTTTAAAGATAGCAATATGAATTAGTAAAATGCGATTATGGCTGATAAATATTTGATTCTATCTGGTATAAATTTCAAAGCAACACACATGTTAAGATTTTTTTTTTCTACACATAAATTATCCTAAATTACAATAATTTTATTTGTTTTCCTATCACATTTTTCATGATGGGTGATACGAGACTATTTACATAGATTATTGCATGAATTAAACTTATGTTATTTACATAGATTACATATCTTCTTCGACCTGATCAGGCAAGTCAAGATCCCTATATGTTTCCTCTCTTATGTTGTATTAAACTGAATTAGTGCAGTCACTCAACATCAAAGTTTCTTCATAACTCAGGTAAGCGAATGCCTCATCAAAATTGGTGAATAGAGCAGGCATGGGAATCATCCACACTTTCAGTTCTAATTCCATGTAACACATCCACGTGATCTTATTTCATTTCAATAAGATTAAAAAAAAAAAAATCAAATTAATAACTACATGTTAAAGTTCAAAGAATGTAGTTAAAGTTCAAAAAACAATAAAAGCTTATGGACCTATGGTTAAGCTCCTTTCAGTTCCTTGTGTCAAGGGAGCAAATCTATTAAGGACTGGAGATAAGAGTCGTCTCAGAATTTTATTTATTTATTTATTTGTTAAAATCTTTAAAATTCACCCACCCATTTTTTGAAATACGCAACTATATATTCGTGTAATTCGGACTAGTATAGGCAATTTTATAGATTTTACAACTTAATAATAATGTTTTATTCATTCATTCGACAAGTTCTTTATTTATGTATAAATGGACATTGGTGCAACAAATCGAAGCAAATATTATTACTCAAAAATAAATGACCCCTTCAAGAATATGAACACGTGAACTAATTAATTAGTGTCCGACATTTACAGTAAGGAAATCATCACAATAAAGAAACTAATTAATTAGTGTCCAACATTTAATTCGTTCTCCAAAAATTGTGGTAAAAACCTAATTATTAAAACTAAAAAAATAAAAAGAATCTATTTAGAATTTTTTTTAAAAAATAAATAAATAAATCCAAAATATCCAAAATTGAGAAAACAAAATATTCTGAACCCTAAACCATAGAATTAATTGGGGTTCAAAGAACCCTAAACCAAAGAGTTAAGCCATTATATATGGGCGATAAAAACATGCTTTCTATCAGATAAATTATCCTAAATTTCATTTGTGCTCTATCACAGGTGATGTGAAACTATCTACATAGATTGTTAGCTTCAAATCCTCTTCTCCTTCGATGACAATATTTTCCGAACATGCGTCCTCTCTTGTGTTGTATAAAGCCGACTTATTGCCGTCTACCAACAGCATAGTTTCACCATAATTCAAGACCGCCAATTGCGCGAACACATCTGACTTTGGGACTTCATCACCAGCAATTCTAGTCCAAGACTCCTCCACCCCATATTCCTTCATAATCCAATATGCATGATCCCCTTGTGGCATTACACAAAGGCATCCTTGAAACACCGTGAATCGGAATGCCTCAAATTCGGTGTAGCAAGGGGGCATGGCAATCATCCACAGTTTCTCATCCGCCAAACTGAAAGCAACAATCTCGAATTTCGGAAGCAAACTAATCCAATGAATGACTCCATTCAGCTCCACCATAGGCTCACTAGCTATAAGACCATCATTGTACTCAGGAAAGTCTTGAACTTTTCTCCAAGAACCAACACTCACTGAATATACATAAACGCTATTGTCGGTTATTTTCACCAACTTGCAATCATCCGAACAATGGTCATAGCCAAATCCAAAGTTACGAGGAAATTCACGATCTGGTATTTGCATGAACTCCCTCGTGGAAGGATTGAATATATATATGAACCAAAAATCTTCAATCGGTTTAGAAAGAAAATCTACCTCCATGCATATCAACCCATTGCCAGAACCAACGACGCTACACCGAGGATGTACAGGATTGTTCGGAAATAAAAATTTAATCTTTTCTACGTCAATTTCAAACATGGATGATCTGAAGCTTGCCGTGTAGAGACGGTATGGAGGGCGTATAGTGGCTATGAGCAAGCGTTGTGTTTCGAAGCTGGACTTCGTGAGTGCGAGTGATTGATTGAGGTGCTTTTTCATGAAGGGGGAGTCCGAGATCAAAGAGCGCCATGACTTTGACACGCACTTGAATCGCAGCAGAGACTTCACGGGCAGTTTTGAGAGTATTTCAACAAGGATAGGTTCGGGAAGGCTAGGCAAAGGCTTGACTTCTTCTTCGCAAGACTCATGATTTGTATTCTCTGCATTCTTCATCGCTATGGTTTGCCTGGACCAAGCAAAACTAACAATGGGCAATTTTGAATCTCTCAACTATGAATATATTATATGAATAACTTGAATCCACAAAGCTGATCAACTTTGAATACATAGAAGGGTACGTACATATTTATAATGGAAATGAATCATCTCCAACGAAATTTCTTTCTTACTATTTTTAAGAATATAATCTTGTTATAACCCCACATCATCAACTTACCATTCCCTCGTTAATTTACCAAACTTAATTAATTAATTAATAAATATAATATCTTTGTACTAAAATTTCCAAGATAATAATTACTGCCGATTTCCCATCCCCTAAAACTTTCACTTTACTTTTTGGCAAATTCAATTTTAAGAGGAAAATAAACTTTTTTTTTTTGTTATAGTTGTCTAATGCAGTGAAATCTATATTCTTATTCACAAATTTTTTTAAAAAAAAAATTATATCCAAATTTTCAGATTTTTACTAATCCAATTGTAACAGTGTCACTAATTGGATGAGAAAGAACCACAACGTTTTTAGTCCAAACGATACCATATTTATTAACTCAAAAAAAAACTGTGAAATCTTTGTTCCAATGGATAAAACTCTGGAAGGTAAAGGAGATCCAAATGAGCTTTGAGTTATCTGATGTATCAAGATCTTAAAATACTTTCTCAACCTAGAAAAAAACTCTAAAATCTTCCAAACCTTAAATTGTAGGTAATAAAGATTGATGATATTGGAGAGAAATTGAAAGAAGGAAGCTTAATGGTAATTGTTATCTTGAAAATTTTAGCACAAAAAAGTAAAGTGAAAGTTTTAACGGGATAGGAAATCGCCTTAATTGTTATCTTGGAAATTTTAGTCTAGGAGATATCATATTTAGTAGTTTATTAATTAAGTTTGGTAAATTAATGATGAAATAGTAAGTTGGTGATGTGGCATTAGAGCAGTTGTAAGATTACATACTGAAAGATGCTAGGAAAGAAATTTCCTTGAAGAGGATCCGTTCCTATTTATAATAGAGAAAACCTATAAAGCTTACATATGGGTTTAGGAAAATCTAATGGTATATGGAAACTGAAAAATAAAAAAATTAAATATTTTCTTTATAAAAAAAATTTACTTCTTTTGACTAGACTGAAAAATAAAACGTGAAAAAAAAAAAAAAAAAAAAAAAAAAAAGAAGGTTAACTGTTAAATAAATTGTTTGTTTCGATTTTACAAAAGTAAAGTTACTATGGAATAAAGAAAACCCTAACACAACATTATAAAGAAAATAATCCTGTAAGGAAACTGTCAGGAGGAAACCTAACCTAAATGGGTTTAGGAACACATAATAGTATATGGAAACTAAAAATAAAAAATTTACCGAAAATTAAATATTTTTAAAAAATTATAAAAAAAAATATACCTCCAATCTTAAAGCTACTTTACAAGGAAATTATTATCATTTTTTAAATTAGGCAACTGTCTTTTCAGATTTTCTATTTTTAGCTTTAATCCTTAATATTTTAGGTCTCGTTTCGACATGACCAAAAAAAAAAAAAAAAAAACGGAAAACACATATCCAATTTTTTTTTTTATTAAAAAAAATTATGTTTAGTAATTAAATTGCCTATTTTGATTTAAAATATATATATACCGAAAAAAGAGGATTCCAAAAATATTATGTATATTGAATAAATTATCTCTTTTGAATAGAACCAAAAAAAAAAAAAAAAAGTTTGTTCTATTAAATAAATTATTTCTTTGACGCGTAACCTATAAAAAATTACCAAAAAAAAATTTGAAATTACTTGTTTGGACTAGACAAAAATACCTGAAAAAAATTAACTTTGCTAAATAAATTATTTGATTCCCCAAATTCATAGGATCAGGATCCTGAGCGAAAAACGGTACCAAGGGCTTTGGATTGCTAACTTCAAATGGTCATAATTCTTTAGTTTTTAATCCAAATGAGGTCAAATTTAGCTCAACTTGAAGGTTTTAGGTCTAATTTTCAATGTAATTGGTTTCACTCAAAAAAACACTAAACCACAAAAGGAATTATGACTATTTAAGTGATGCAAGATAAAGAATTTTTTAAACCGAGTATACATAATGTAAGTGATAGTTATTTTTGAAAAATATTTCAATGTAATATTTGGCCAAGCTTGATGAGTGTTAATGTAATTAACCCAAATATATATATAAGATAGGGTTAAATGCAACCAAAAAAAAAAAAAAATAATAATTCCCTTACATTTTTCAATTTGTACAAATAACGACTTTCGAGAAAATTGAACAATAAATTGACTAATATACCCTTATAATAAAATAATATATATACAATTAGATAATGTGTATATATATGTGCATCTCTCTTAGGCTCCGTTCGTTAGGAAGGAAAAAAATTAGATGGAAGGGAGAAAAGAAGGGAAGGATGAGACATCCCTAGGGAAGAGATTATGAACTTCCCTCATTTTGTTCGGTTAGATGAAAAAGAAGATAAGAACCCACCAAATTCCTTTGTTTGTTACGAGAAAAGGGAAAAGAGAATTTAAAATTATTTTTATCATTATACCCTTCATTATTTTCTTTTCATCATCTTTACTACTCATTTGAACACTACCATTAATTTTGCTCTAATTTGTTGTTTGTTTTATTTACATATACATATACATATATATATATATATAATCATATTTCATCATGAATAATAATAATATAAAAAAAAGTACCCCACTATATACTGACTAGTGGCACTCAACTGAAGAGACTCAGAGGAAGGTCCTTAGTTAAGCAGTCTGGAATTGTTTTTCTGGTTTGTAAAACTTGATGCCACTCCTAGCAGTCAGATCAATTTGATACAAGTTAAGCAAACTGCGTATTTTCGGCTTCAAACTAGGATTACGGATTTCAGACCGATCAGTCTCTGCAACTCAAAAATATGTCTGGTCCCTTCAACGTAGTCCCAGAAACTCTACTAACATAATAAAAGGGAGCAAACGTAAGGAAATGGTGCTTCTGCTTCCTTATAGCTATGAAAGTAAAGAGGACTATAAGGTAATGCTTTCTGGCGAGCAGGGATAGAAGACGAGGATGATGATGTCAACGATATTAAATAAAAAACAAAATCTTCCGTGTCTTTTAAATAAAATAATTGGGAAGGCTAATATTGTAATTTAGTATTTTTATAATAGTACCACTTGTTTTCTCTTGTGTCTTCTGCCCAAATTTAGGTGGATGAAAATTGTAAAAAATGAGGGATAAGTCATCCCTCCTATTATCCTTTCTCTCCGTGTTTCCTTCTTACCGAACGAAGGAATTTTGTTCATTCCCTCCTATTTTTCTTCCACCCATCTTCCTTCCTTCCAACCAAACAGAGCATCAGAGGAACGTAAAATTGAAACTAGTTGAAATTACGATGGCTCTGGAAGAGAAATTTGAAATGCCACTCGGAGAAGAAGGTGTTGCAAATATGGCAACTGTTCAAGAAGGCACTGATCTAAACGAGAAAGTCAAGGTAGTTGCTGTGACGACCCTGGTTTTTTAGGCCAGCGTGTCCTGTGATGAACCGTAAGGATGATCCGATAACGAATCCGAATGCGGAAGCGAAAATAGAAAACAAGACTCTAAGAAGTCAAAGTGACCTTCCATGAGGTCGTGGAACTCAACAAGAACAGAAGCAAAAGATCGAAAATATGACAAATAAGCCCCTAGGGGAAAAATAGTCATTTTTGAAAACTGTAGATTCGGGAGCCACCGAGCACACCGCTGGAAGGACAACGAAAAACTAATTAAGATGGACTCAAGAATCGCATGATTCGGAGTCCGGACGAAGGAGAAACGGCATGACGAAGAAAAACGAGCACTTAAAGCAAAAAGGGTAAACTGGTAATTATCCAGGAAGAACCGGATGCAACCGAGCAAACCGTTGCAAAGACAGCGAAAAATTAGTCAAGTTCAAAAAAAAATTCACTTGAATCGGAGTCCGGACAAAGGAGAAAAGCTCAAAATAAGAATTGACGTCGCGGCGGCCCGACGAAGGGCCATGGCGCACACGGTGCCCATGCGCGAGCCCACCGGCGTGCATGCCGGCGCCCAAAAACATGGCTGGTGGAAGCCCTTGGCTGCTGCTACATTTTTTTTGATCTTCCTAGAACTGAGGCTTCAAACAGAGGTCAAGAAGAGTATTTCTGGAAAAACACGAAGAAGAAACCCACCCTAAAATTGAGTTTTCTACCCGATAACGTGGACGGAATCGAAAAAAACTCACTATGAAATCCCCAAAATTCCCCTAGATCAGAACTGAACAAGAAGGTCATAAAGCTGCTAAATGAAAACTGGAAGCTGAAACTTCACGAGGGATTTCCGGTATGAAGACGACATTTTCTGGAAAAACACGAAGAAGAAACCCCCCCTAAAATCATGTTTTCTATTCAATCATGTCAAAAGAAGAAAACAAAACTGATGTGAAGGATCCATAATGCCCCTAGATCAGAATATGCAAAAAAAATGCGAAATGAATTCACAAGAGGCTCAAAACACAAACGATAAGGTTTTGCCCGGAAACGACTATGCACGCAAACGTAACTTACCTATTTAGACGCGCTACAATGGTCCATAGCTTAAAAATATAGCCGATGCAAAATCCGACCCCCCAACGGGCAAAAAGGCGAAAATGGACTTGGAATGGAAAACATGGAATCCAAAAATGCAAAACGGGATCAAATGACCGTTTGGCCCTTGGCCACACTTCAAACATGATTAATAAGACCATATGAAATAATGAAAATGGAATTCCCACACCCGATGCAACCAAGGAGAAGCAATGAGTTGCGATTTTTCAAGGTTTTCAGAATATTTCATGAAGTTAAAAAGTTGTATAGAATACAATACATATGTCATTGGCCTCCAGCCTCATCTCATACATGTCAAATACATTGAAAGGAGTGCACTTATGTACACATTACATACATGGAATCAAATATACATATTTTGACATATAAGTCTACAAAATGACATTTCATGTTAACATTTGCATGAAATGGAAACTTGAAAGCTACACGACATCCAAGGAATGCTAGGCTTCACGAACCAAGTCTTCGTACCTGAAATATACCCCAGTATCGTAGGGGTGAGTAACATAAAGCTACTCGTAGGAGATGCGCATGCATCGACCTAGCATTTTACAAATTTATCACCTTAAGGTGAAACATGTTAAAGGGGCTCATGCCACTAGCGTCTATGTCCAAGTGAGACTCGGGGAGCATCCTAAGCTACCTTAGAGTCTAAGCAACAAGAATCATGATATACATACGTGTATGAAACGAATCATGGTTGGGATAATCCAAAGAACACGACAAGAAGAATGCTTGAGCATAGATTAACATGAATTGCATTTTCAATACAATTGAACTAGGTCTACAGTAATCCATACAACATGACAAAAGCATATTTGAATACAAGTTAACAAGAATCACATTATCCATGCAATTCAACAACAAAAGAGCATGTTATACAATGCAACAAGGTTTCAGTTCTCAAAGCCATCAACTTAGAATCTAAAGCACAAAATAACAGTAGTGGTTCATGCCATCTAACGTCTATGTTATAAATGATTCAATAGGATCAATCCTAAGTTTTATTAGAACGTTAAAACACGATTTTCAATATCGATACAATTTAACCAACATTGGAACTTCCAATACAACGCATAAAGCATAATTTCGCGAAGTTAACATCCTGTAACTTAAAATGGAACGACAAATAAGAAACAACAAGTTACAACATCATCTAGTTATCAACTTGAAAATGAAATGCGAAATCAAACAAAGTGGATACTCGGACGTCACGCCAGATCAGACCGACAACATAGTTACTTTAGGGTTACTAGCCCATGGGTAACCTCCCTACGTGCGCACTAGACCATATAGAGGGACTATCCCCCGTACTAGAACCACGTTCTAGCCATAGTCAAACAATGACATCCCCAAGTTTCCAAAATCAACAAGTTGTGCAACAACGCATATATCAACAGGAATATACAAGATAATCAACTATCTACCAAGTACAACCAAATTTGGAAACCTATACAATCCATGCTCTAAGTCCACAACTAATATGATGTGATGAATGTCGAATCTTCAGTGTGTGATTCGTTACACAGTACGCATGAGAGATGTTAAACACGAAGTGTGCAAATCATTACACAAGGCAACAATATATTCAATAAGGAAAACATATTCTCATAAATACAAACATAGCAACTATGTTATCCAATGTTCAAAACATAACCAAATGAATATACAACAAGTCTAAGTCCATGATTTGAATATAGAAACCACTTCTAAAACACAAATAGATCATGGAGCAAATTGATAGAATTTAAATAGATAAACACAATTAAATTCTATAGATTCCGATTCAATTCCACTTAACCTCAATTTAACACATGTTAAAGGACATGGCAAGGTTATCACCTATATCCATTCTAAAACTCAATTAGGTTGTTAGAACAACAAAGTAGAACTTTAATTAAATCACACTAATTTAATTACCAAGGTTCTAAAACAACTTCTAATAGTCCCAAATTAATATATACTAGTAAACAAGTCATGGCTAATTTAAATATCAAGTTAAAACCTTAATTAAGCTAATGGGACCACAAAATAGATTTTAATTAATTCTTTTAATTAAAATCTCTTGATTTTTAAACTTAACCAAATGCTCTCCATTTAACATATCTTAGAGAATATGCCAAGGACTAATGTAATATCACATTACAAGTTTATTTCATTCAATTTACGACCACGTAAATTAAACTTTCACTAAAGTTAAATATAAAATAAAAGTTGCAATTCTCATGCAATTAATCCCAATTTAATACATGTAAACAACTATACCTAAGCTTAATTTTCTAGCATGCCACAATACAATTCCAAGTTATATATCACCATGAGGATTAAATCTTAAACATGGAATTTAATTAAATAAAAGGTTTCAAAACCACACAGAATATTCTAAATCAAATATATGTGAAGCTATATGGCATGTAGATCAAGAATATCAAGTCGAAATTCAAATAGAGTGAATAGTGCACTCGGGGCAAATTAATTAATCAAATTAATTAATAATTACTAATTTTCAAAACTCCTCCAATCACTTTCGAATTCAACTATGTTGAAGAGCATGCTAAGGCCTAATTTAATATGCTAACACATATTGATTTTAAGCTAGTTAAGGCCATGTGAATTAATCTTTCACCTAAGATAAATATTAAATAAAATCTTTAATACTTATTCAAATGTTCCAATTTTAATACACGACAATGAGCATATCAAGGGGCAATATAAAATCATGCTACATGTTTAAACCAAGTCATGAGCAATCGGGAAAATTAGATCCCGTACAAGAAAAATAAATAATAAAATCTCTAGATTTTATATTTAATCATCCAAACAAGTATTATAAGCATCACAAGCATGCAATATAATAAGAATTTAAACCTAGAATATCTCCTACCTCAATTTGAGATGAAAATCCCAAAGGCCCACCAAAATAAAAGTGCTCCGAATTCGACGATACCGAAAGGTTTTGTCGGGGACAACACCTTGAACATAACCCCCATCAAAGCCCCATCAAAATCATAACTTGACCTCAAAACCAAACTTAAGAAATGGTCAAAACTGAATTCTAATAAGGGGGAAAGGTAGAGCACGGCGAGGGGAACAACAGACGTTAAGGCCGAAGACTTTCCATCAAGGAAAATGAACCAAAAGAGGAGAGAGAAGATGGTAGCACCCCTTGGGCTGCCATGGGAGCTCCAGGTCATGCATGAAGAGGGGAGAAGATGAAAATTGAAATATCTCACCCCCCCTTTTATAGAAATCTCAAAAAGTGACTCGAACGGGCCCCGCCGGGTCTGAAAAAGTAAACTTTGAGCAGACGCGCTCAAATTGCAAAACTTTGTGAACAAAAAAGATTAAAAATGATAAAATATAAACAACAGAAGAAACAACGTCAAAAATCGAGTCCCGAGTAGAAAGTTATGCCCAAAACAAGTTTGGCGAAAACCGGGGCCAGAAACCCTGAAACTGGAAAACATCGACCAGGAGGAAATTCCAAGAGTACACAACTCGACGAAATGTGAAAATGAATCCCGTATGAGGATCCAGGCTCAAAAAAAGTCATTTTGTAATAACTTTCATTAATTGCACAATGGCCCCTCTAAAAAGTTAAAACTACACTTATGGCCCAAAATGAAAATATCTTCCAAAAATATTTTCTTAAAAACCCCTGAAATAAAATATCTTCAAAAGATATTTACGAAAAACACCCCAAGAAATGAAATTAATTCCAAAGATTTATGCATCCATGCCCCTATGGGCACCGGGAACATCTAGAGTACTTTCTTGCAAAAGTAAAGATACGTATTTCGTGGAAACCACTCACGATAAGGATACGTGAAATCAAAAACCAACTCCGAGCATGAGAAGTGAGGTTGTGCCAAAAACTGACAAACGGAGATAAGACGAAATAGGG